TTGTTTACTCTAACCTCGTGTAGCATTAGTAAATAATATGAAGGTATTAACTTACAATGATGGTATATATGCAGTCGTTCAAAAGGCTTTTCAAAAAAAATCTTGGAAGATACGAAAAATCTAGTTACGTGGACAAGATCAGTCTGATTGCACTGAATGCCATGCATGTCTGCCAACTAGATTGTGTTGTACAACTGAGAAGCCATTTTTGAATGGATTTGATTCCCATATGAACTTGTTCTTGAAGCTTCATATCAAAGATCAGTTATCTGTTATAATGATCTTATCATACGAGTGCTGGACCGGGGCTGTATTTGACTGATCATTAACTGTATTCAGATAAACATATTGCCAACTCCCAACATGTCAAGGAAGAAGATAGGACAATCTACCAAGTTCAACATTTTCTACTTCAACTAATGTCAGCTTTAAGATTCCCATGGATTCCATGTATATATGAATGGCTTTTGGCATTTTGATCAGCCTTCTTTCTCCGCTAATCATATTCATAGGCTGAGCTGAGAGGGAGATGGGGCACAACCTGTTAGTCTGATTAACCTGTACTCCATGTACACAGTCTTCAAAAGTATTATAGCTACAAAGGAGTGCAGAATTCTGCCATTCTGCTTTACTTTGAAGTGAGAATTGAGATCATTTTCAAATAAATTCCAATCAGAGAAAGGCGGCGCATCCCTCCAACTCCCATATTTGCACAATCGTGCGACAACATGTTAAAGTCACTACATTTAAATTACTATTTGCACGCACTAAAGCTTAGCTTTGGGGTATCCATATCTCTTAGCCCAAAAGAGGGTGAAATTTTTTAAGTTCATGATTACTTAGCTAATGTTACCTTCAATCAGAAGCCATTACAATGGGAAGCATTGGATTCTCCAAACACAACACTTTTGTGTTTGGAAATTAAGATTCAAATGGAATGGATAAGACAAAATGTGCCTTATGCTAAGCTTTAGCCATTTGGAATTTGGATCGCCCGGGCCTGCTGTATTCCACCCTACTTCCTTAAAGCTTGTTCTTATTGAAAGAAGCTTCTCTATTCCCATCTCAGTCTATATATTCTGGAATTCATGTCCATCAATAATTATACATATATTTGGCAACATATTATTATATTCCTTTATGATATATATTCAAAGCGATCAAAAATAGAAGCGAGACAGTAATAAATTAGCAACTCCAACTAAGAGTGGTTCAAATGGTGAGGGCATAAAATTGTGGACCATGGCTGCAGGCCGGAGTTGCCAATACAATGGATGTTGACATCAGTTACTACTAATTGTATTAAGTTAGGGAACTGTGAACTTCAACCCCAAACGTGGGCATAAGAATCTACTGCTTAGCCTGCAAATGCTCATTTGATGTTAGCAAAAAGGCAACACATGTATACATATATACATATATGTAGCCATAGACACTGGAATGAAGATTTCCTTTTATTCATGTCTATAATCTCTCATAAAATAAGATTTAGAACCAACTTAGAATTTTTAATTAAACAATTAAGTCCATGGTAGGTGTATGTATTCTTCAACTCAAAGAGTATGTTAAAGTGGTATTATCTCACATATGTTAAACATTGAGTTTTTTATGATCTTATTTTTAGGTTAAAACTCCAACTAATGCTAATTAGTTTTAGGTTGAACGCTTAACATAATATCACAGTCTGATTCTATTGTATTGTTCTTGTATGTCTGTTACTCTTGCCTGTTACCTTTTTCAAGTTTATCATGTGGTAGGGTCCTATTAAATATTGAGTTTTCTGTGATATCATATTCAACTTGAAAGTCTCCACTTATAATCAATTGATTTTAAGATATGATAACTCTTGAAATAGAGTTATTTAGACTTGTTTTTGTGCAAAAATGAGTTACTTTTACTTTGTTTTTGGTAAAATAAGTTTCTTTTTGCTCCTCATGTGCTTAATTTGATATTTCATAGGAAATTGTGAAAAAAAGATTGAATCTTGTAAATCTTGAAAAATGTTGGATGTTCTTAATCAATCTTGGATGATTATTTATATATCTAAAGAATTTTAGATTGTTCTTGATGTGTTTTTGAGGATTCTTGAAAATCTTGAAGTTAGAGTGTTGAAATTATTCAAGTGTGGTGTTGCTGAACCTATGGGAATTAGAATTGTTGAATGTTGATTAGAATTTCATAAATTCATACAAGAATTGTATAAGAGACGTTTAGTTATGAATAGGGATTGATGTGTAATTTTACGTTAAATGGAGGTCCACAGAAGTTTATGTAGTGCGTAATACATGAGATTATTATAGATGATATGGCAGTAAGTCTTTTTTCTTTGGTAAAAAAAGATGATTTGGACTCTTATGTGGCATGATAACTTGAAAATTCTATCCATTTTTGGAAAAGTCTAAATCGCCCTTAGTTTTCCTAATTCAAAATGGTTTTTCTACTTTGACTTGGAAATCTTACTTTGACTTAGAATTTTTAAGTCAACTAGGAGTTGTCCTTAGTTATCTTATTTAGTTTTTGGGGCAGCATATGATGAGAACACAATTTAGAATTTTATTTCTCTCTTCTTTAATACTCTTCAACTGAAAGTTAAGTCTAAAATCTAAGAAACTAATCCGAAACTGATTGATTTTAAGATTTAAGCCTAATTCAAGAAGGTCCAAAAGTGCTAAAACCTAGTCCAAGTTGGAATTCTTATTCAAGAAGACTGTGAAGGGTTTAAAAATAATTACAAAGCATTCTTTTCTCTTGAAGAAAGCCTTTGCCGCCACTTACCCATTCTTTTAACTTTAGAATTCTTTGTATTTTTATTCTATAAATAGCTATCCTTTTATATAGAGAAAAACTGAAGTAGGGTACTGAGTGGTATCCCAATCTGAAGTTGTTAACTTCTTTAAGTTTTTTTGTTCTTTACTTTTCATATTTTTAAGTTTTCTTTAAATTATTTTAAGTTTATGCAAAGTTCAATTTTAAATTTAAATTCTGTTTTATTTTCAATTCAATTCAAACTTTCTTAGATTTTTGTTCTTACTTTTAATTTATCTTAAATTTGCAATTTTCCTTTAAGTTAGATTCTGTTCTATTCGATTCAAGTTCCATAAGCTTTGTTTTTGCTTTAATTTGCTATTTTGAGGTTTAAGTCATTAAATTTAATTTGGTTCTAAGTTAGTTCATTGTTTTTAGTTAATTCATGTGGAGTTACTTAGTTTGCATGTTATTAAGTTGATTTAAGTTAAGTTGTTGTTTCAAGTTTAATTAATGTTAATTTAATTAGTTAGCGTGTCCTTAGGATTAATTAGTTTAAATTGCATGTTGCTTTCTATCATTTAACTTTAACTGAAGTTATTTAAGGTTATTGCATCTTATTTTGTGGTTAATTACATGTTTTTAAGTTTTCAAGTAAATTTACATTATGTTTTGTTTAATTTAAGTTGTTAAATTCAGATTTTATTTATTTTGCATGCTTAGTTAGGTTGTGATTTAGTTAGTTAATTTAAGTAATTATTTAGTTATTAGCATTCTAATTTTCAATTTTCTGAATATAATTAAGGGTAAACAATTTCGATAATTAGTTCTCTTTCATATATTTCAATTTCGAATGATATTCTACTCATTTTATATTACTTATTCCGATTCTATATACTTACAGATTCTCGATTAAATTGGATACTTAAAATAGTTGAACTCAAATCCCCTTATCCAAAATAAAAAAAAAAAAAAAAACAAAACGAAACCTAAAACTAAATCAAAGGACCATACCTTCAGCTAAGGTTCAAAATTTTGGAGACAGACCTTTTTTGTGTTGAGATTGATTTATCTAATTTGTTCAATTTATAACCCTACTCTAGATGAAAATAGAGATTTTTTTTTTTCCGGAAAGCAGTCTTAATTTAAACTAATGAAGGCTAAGGTGAATATTTTGATATCATATTTTGGTATACAATTAAACAAGACCAAGAAAGACGTGAAACATAAATTTGAAAAGAAAAATCAAACTCTGACTTTTTGGAACAGGTAAGTATGAACTTACAATTGAATAAAGTGCTCGGGTACATAAATCAAGGTAGATTGTAGTTTAAATGCGATGATGTACAAACATATGTTGTATAGTAGTCAACCTGTGTTCAACTCTTTACAACATAGGATTTGCTTATGTGAACACATGGTAGCTAACCTTTTTCTTATGCTAATCATAAGATAGTATTTAATTAAGACACAACTCAATTGTTTGATAATTTTCAATTATAACAAAAGAAAATATTATGACAAAATATATATATGATGTTTTTATTATATTTATATTTAATACGTTATCGGTATATAAATTTTATATACAATCAATTAATCACATAATAATATTTATAAAAATTAATTTTAAATATATTTTTAAGAATAAGTGTATTTATGTTCTAAAATTTTAAAATTAATTTTTTATGAAGTGTAATTATATGCTTGATGACTGATAATGCATAATATATATATATATATATATATAAACTGAATATGTATTAAATATAAACTTTTTTCTTATTACAAATGATTTTCAACTGAAAATATCTAATTCTAATGGGCTCGGTAATATTCTAGCACTCTTTAAATAGAATAATATTCTATCACACTTCAAATAGAATAGTGTTTTCAGTGATGTACGGTACTGTTTGTTACATACCTATATAAGGGTAGACCTTTCTCCAATTTTTTGGACAAACGTATATGATTTTAAGTTAATGAAATATATAGTTTCTATTGATTCAAAGGAATAACCGATCTCATCTTTGAATTAAGTGCTCAAATTTTCGAACCGTAAAATTTTAAGAAGTTGGTGCCTCAAATCTTTGCAGCCGTATATAACACCACTTCCAAGTTCCAACTCCATGGATTATCTAAAGTATAATGCTTTCTTCTTCTCGTACGTAACGTAACGCATGAGATGATTGATGTTGTCTTTTGGTATTTAAGCAGTGCATGAAAATACCCAAACTCAAAGCAAAAAAAAAAAAAAAAACTTCATCGTATAAAGCAAAGCAAACGTCGGAACCCAGCTGTTTCCTCTCTTCGAGAAAGTAACAGAGAATCTACTATTGCTCCTCCCTCTATAAAGAATACCAACCACCCAAGTAAAAACAACAACTGCCTTGCTCATCATAAAAACAAAACCCACCCTTTTATCTTCTTTTATCTTCTTTCCTTTCCTTCTCAAATCATAAATCCTATTCCAATCATCATCATTTAACGATAATAATCTCCCTTTAATTCTCTTTTTTTTTTTTTTGTTTCTTCTCTCTCCTCTATGTCCTAGAAAAGATATAGAGGAATTATAAATAAGGAAAATAATTAAATCATGGGCGGCAGTAGTGGTAGTAGTGGTTTTTTGTCGTCTAGAACCCTGTTTGGATCACTTATGGTTTTGGGATTTATCTTAGTTATGTTAGTTGGGAGCCTGCAAAATGAAGGAAACAAAACAAAGACGACATTAACGTCGACTGATGATGATCAGTTATCATCGACGTTGACGTCGACCTCAGGAAAGCTGCAGCAGGAGGAGCAAGTGAAGGTATTAGGTAGAGCTGGAAAGTCGAGCGTGGTGCATCCACCGCTAGATCTCAACTACATGAGCAATAGAAGAGTTCCTAATGGACCAGATCCTATTCACAACAGGTCTGCTTGCTTCCATAATTATATGCAAGTATTTCCAACTAAATTATACGTTATCATATGCTAAAAATATATATATTTTCCTTTTAAAAAAAAACTTTTTTCTAATATCATGGGAAAGAAACATTGGAATAGTTTTTGTATTTTCCTGATGAGTCTTCCTTCCTTTACCTTTTTTTTTTTTCAGATTTTTAGGAAGTCTTATAATTAAATTGTAATTTTTGCATGCCACCGTAACAACTTTAGGACCAAAATTATTTTATTTGTAATCTTTTCTTATCACTTTGCATAACTTGTTTTTGTATGAATATATATTAAGACCATATCTGATGTATAGAATGATGAATATGATAAGATAATAATAATCTTATATTATATTTGATATATATTTAAAAAATATAAAATTATAACGATGATTGAATCGTTTTTTTGGAATAGAATGATTCAACCCTCCCAAAGTAAAGATGATTATTTTTAATCCATGAGCTTGAATTTATATATCCTATTATATTCTTAAAAATAATATCAATGATTTAAATTATATAAATTTAAAAAAAAAATAATTTTGACTAATAAATAAATTATCCTATCTTAATCTTTACAAATATTAAACATAAGATATGATAATATTATTTAATTTAATTTTATTCATAATATCATATTGTACAATCTTATCATAATCTTGTACACTAAACATATTCTAAGTTTCTCTTATATTATATTTAGTGTATATATATACATATATATATTATTTGTCTTTCAATTTCAGTGTTTTTATTCGTATAAAAAAATTGGCTTTTTTCCTAAAAAAATTGTTTTTACCCTAATTGTATATTAATATTTGTCAAAAAAATAAAAACAAAAACACCCTACGAAATTAATCTTGGAGGCTTATATATATATATATATATATATGCTTTTAACTGTTACATTGAGTCCTACTGTACATGTGGTCCACTATGTTTTAATCTCCAACATTAAACACTTGCAAAAAAAAAAAAAAGAAAGAAATAAAGCCTGTCTCTTCACTTTATTCCAGCTCTTAATCTTGCTTATCCAATGGCTAATTATTATTAGCATACAGCATTTACAGAGCCTTTACTTAATTAAACTTTTTTGTATGGTGCCCTTCATTGGCCATTCTTTTCATTATTTGTAATACAAAATTGCTATAAAAGCCTTTCTTTTCCTTCTTTTGAGAAACTGGATTTGTAGTATTACAAAGCAAGGTATACCTGAACCAGGAAATTAATTCCGTTGGTTAGTGTCATCTTTAGGCATCCACAGATTTAGGATTTAAATATCAATATATGTAATTTCTTCTCTTATCTTTAGGTTATTACTTTTTTTTATTAAAAAAAAAAGGCAAACTGTACCAATTTAGCTTATTAGCAAATCAGTAAAATTAAAAGCCAAGCACACAATGAATCCCTTCATTTCCCTTTTGACAGGCGAGCTGGCAATTCGGGTCGACCGCCAGGACAAGCTTAATTTGGCATCAAAGTGCAAAAGATGATGACCACAAAGCCAGCATATATATCTGCCATGCATCTATATCTTGTATGTATTCTTTTGGAAGTGGGACTCTAAATATTGAAAATATTTTGAATACCCAATCAAGCCTGCATGTATGTTTTTAGTTTTCACTAACAAGATTTGTTATGGAGAGAGGTGCTGGTAGAAGAGTAAACAAAAAATGGAAGCTTGCTTCATACTACAAAATATGCTCATCAATTAAAAGCATCCAGTGGATAAAGATATTAAGCATCTTTTGCTTAAAGACAATATTTTATTACCTGGTAAAATTATTATGAGATATCAAAGAATGAAAAAAGACAGCAAGTTAATATCGGGAAGTGCACTGTTAAAGTCGTTCAGGGATTAGCTTCGATTAAATAGCATACCAGGATCTAAGAAAAAAAAGAGTGCAATATATGTGGAGTTCAATCTTTGCATATAAAGCATCAAATAGATGAATTAAGGCTTAGCTCAGCACAATTATCTTTAAGATATGATACTGTACTACAAGTATGGGATTCAAATCTCAATGCTTATAATATCTATTCCTGCCCCGATACTATGGTTTTTTGGAATTAGGTAAATATGTTTCTTATTACAACATGAATGTATGAGAGGAAATGTACCAAAATCTATCATCAACCTGTCAATCACTGGTTCTTCGGCTCTGGCTTTAGTTTGTTTGGTTTATTCACTATAGTTGCCAAAGATTTGAATTTTATTCTAGAAAAGGTGGGCACTGGGGCATGAGTTCCAAAACTAAAGTGAATCCACCAATTAAAGGTGTTAAGCTCCCAAAAGAAAAGTTGTTTTGCATCTTTTTGTGTTAGTCTTTTTCTGTGGATTCTTTAGGGACTGTTTTGGTCTTTGGGTCCATTCAAACTTGTAGACATGCATGAGATTCTTATATCTTGTGGCAATCAAAGGATAACACAAAAGAAAGAAAAGGAAAAGAAATAAACATATATATAGTCACCATATATATTCTCATCAAAACACAAAGAAAAAAAAAAAAAGGCACCCTCTAATACAATAGGAACCTTTCAATCGGGCTCTCGAATGGAGTCTCAGTCTCAAACTTTTGATGTTTGAGAAGCAAAGCAAAACCGGTCTAAAGTAAGATTCAAATTGGGGCAATTACTAAAAGGGGAAAAAGCAAAAGAAGATTTAAGCTTATGAAGCTTTTACTGCATTTTGCATGTGAGAGTCACCAAAACATAAATCAAATCCCACGTCGATTACTTAGTCTACTAAATTTAAGGGCAGCAATTAAATAAAAAATTTTCAAGGTTTTTTATTATAAAAAGTCAAATAAAAAATAAAATTTAAACTCTATTATTTCTTGGATCATGTATATAAATTTTAAAATTATTTGAATGCGTTTTGAGACTTTTTAATGGGTATTTTCATTATAAATATTGACAGTTTTTACTATATATTCAATAAATATTGCTTAAATTTTGTGTGTAAATATATATATATAATTAATTAATTTTGTTTAAATCAGAAACTTTAATTATTAATTGATATATCATCTATACCTATACATATATTAAAATTGTCCCTATACATGTATTAAAATTGTGCCGGTATAGGGATTATTAATTGACACTGGCCTGTCAACCATTGATCCTATCGGGGACAAAAATTTTGTAATAATAATATTTAAATTATATTTTATATCTATAATTTATATATTACAAATAATTCAGGTGATATTTCTAAATGACACTTAGTATTTTGTGAGTAGACACTTAGCAACATTTTTGTCTCAAAGTATGTTTGATAGGTGTCATTTTGTTAGTTTTTTGGTGGATTAAATATTATTAATTATGTTGAATTTAGTTTAGATTTTTTTATTTGATTTTATTTGACATTGGTTTTTATAAAGTGTAATTTTTATATTGAATTGGGATATTAAATTTTTATTTTTATATTGAAGTTTTATTTTTTTATATTTGATATTTTCCTAAATTTTGATAATGATTGTTGAATTAAAAATATCATTCTATTGACAAGTTTTTTAGTTTAGTTGTTAGGGACATGTTGGATCTTGATTTTTATATATTGATTTTAGGGTAAATTGGTGTTGAATGAGTATTCAGATCTATGTCGAAATACGCTAGGAAACATGAGAAAACACGATTCCAACATCTATGAGCCGGGCCAAAAGCCATCTAGAATATCTTTGGACTTAAATAGATAGCGTCCAACTTGAATGGGCTTCAATATTGTTGTCAGTTTGGGCTTATTTTTTAGGGACATTTGATTCGTAAAATTTTAAATTTAAAAAAAAAGTGATTTAAGGGAAAAATTATATTGAAGGAGAATGTGTGATTTTTGAATTTTATTGACTTATTACATAATATAAAATTTTTATATTTGGTTAACAAAAATATAAGATTATTTAATAAAATATTTTATTATATTATCCTTGATAACATGTAAATAACACATAATATTCATAATACTAATATATAAATAACATGTGACAATAAATTACAAGTTGTATTCGTTATAAATTAATGATTCTAAAAATTAATTTTTTTTATATTTTCAACAAATATAATCATATAATTCTAATTACTATTTTAACATTATTGTCTCAACATAGAAAAAATACACATAACAACTTTTGCGATATGATCAACGTGAGGGTTAGAAAGGGGTGGTAAACCCCTTCCTTGGTCTGCTTCCAAAACAAATTTTATGTGTAACTATATCAAGTAAATGTATTTTAGATTTTATATGTAATAATATTAAATATAGATATTTTACATTTTTTTTCATATTTTCAACAAAGGCTATGTTTTTTATTTTACAAAAGTCATTTTTTCAACAAAAATTACGTTTTTATCATAGAAACATCATCTTTATTAAATTCTGAAAAATATAATTTTCATGATTTCTACAAAAACTACTTTTTTATTTTAGAAATATCATTTTTATTGAAATATAAAAACTATATTTTTTCATCTTTTCAACAAAGATCACGTTTTCTATTTTTAAAATGTTGTTTTTGTTGAATTATGAAAAATTAATATTTTCATGTTTTTAACAAAGATTATGTTTTTATCTTAGAAACATCACATTTTCAATAAAGACTACATTTTTTATTTAAAAAACATTGTCCTATCTTTATTGAATTTTAGAAAATATTTTTTTATATTAACAATAAAAATTTTTTTATCTTAGAAATGTAGTCTTTTTAACAAAGATTGAGTTTTTTATCCTAAAAATGTCATTTTCGTTAAATTTTAAAAAATAATTTTTTCATATTTTTAGTGAAGACCATGTTTTTTATATTAAAAATGTTGTCTTTGTTAAATTATAAAAAAATAATTTTATTCATCTTTTCTACAAAAATCATGTTTTTAATAAAAATTACTACGTTTCTAAGGAATCTTACTTTATAAAAAGATTACTATGTTTCTAAGGTAAATAATATTTCATATATTAAAAACGTTCCTAATTTTGAAACAATTTATTGTGTTTTTCTTTTAATAATGTTGTTTTTGAAAACATTATTTTTGTTATAATTAATTTTTCATAACATATTATAACATATAATTATGTTTCTAATATAATAACATTGTGTAAATGAAAATTTTGAGTTATTTCTATTTTATTTTATACAAGATCAACTACGTTTATAATTATGAAATATTGTCTTTATGAAATTTTATCATTTAAAAATAAATATTTAAATTTATAAAATTCAATTACAAATGATAATTGTCAGGTGCCCAATCATGTGGCTAGGAACACAGCTTTATGTGTTAGAATGCATCTCAATTTATCATGCAATTATGTTGATTTTCAAGTGTAAAATAGACCGTAAAAATTATTATTAAGGCAAAAGTGGGACAAATTTTACATTCCACCAAAAAACTTAAAAAACCTTAGGGAAAGGTAGTTTTCTAATTTAAGGCTATCACCTTCCTTTGTTGACACTATTGGAAATTTTAGAAAACCTCAAATATTAAATTTCATGAACCAAACTATGGAATCAAATTATAAAAAGTAAGATTCCAGTCAGTAATCTAACTTTTCCTTGATCCAAATGCCTCCTTAGGCTTTTATGGTGGTATGTATATGTCACGATGTATGGTTTCGGGAATCAAATCACCGGACTTGTGGAAAAATGTGACTAAAAAGCATTTTCAATATAAATCAAAACAAGAAGTCGCCACCAATCTTTTTTAGGGTTTGATTGGTCACCTAAAAATTTATTATTTTAATAAAACATTTCAAATAAGTTTAAAGTTTATTCAAAGAACATTTTAAAGTTTGCGAAAATCAGAATTGGGAGTTGGTTACAAGTGGGAAACAATTAGTGCCCCATAGTGCCTCATTAAAAATGGTACCAATTGATTGCATGTTATTCTTAGATTTTGGTAAAGATGGTCCAATTTTAATGTTTATAATTTAATTCCTTTTTTTTAGTGATTTATTCCAAAAATTGAATCTTTTTTTTTTCTTTTCTTTTGAAAGCAAATCACTTAAAAAAAATTTTTGAAAGCAAAAAGAAAAAAATTTATTTTTGGATCAATATGAAAAAGTCCTAAGTATTAAGATATTTCCTTGAGAGCTTCAAAAAGTCCCTAACTTAAGGGTTTTCAAATTGCCCCATAAAAAAATGAGATAGTATCTTGCATAAATAATAATCATTGAGAGTCCCCCAATATTTAGTTCAGATCTCAAATGTTATCTATACTTGAGATATTATCTTATTTTAAAATATTTTTCTTAAAAACCTTATTTATAAAACCTATGAATGGTATGCATGAGCCTAATAATGTATAATGTATGCATGATAATTAAACATGGATGATAAAATATAAATGCATGACAATTCAAGGATGCATGCAACAATAAAGTAAAATAAGATGCAAATGCATGAAAGGGATCAAATGTTGTTTTTTTTTTTTTTTTGGTTTAGGGATTGGTTTGGGTTTTTAGGGCTTATGATTTAGGGTTAAGGTTTAGGTTTATAGTTTTAGGGTTTTAGGTTAGGGCTTAGGTTTTAGGGTTAAGGTTTAGGTTTAAGGTTTTAGGGTTTAGTGTTAGAGTTTAGGTTTAAGGGTTTAGGGTTTAGGGTTAGAGTTTAGGTTTAGGGTTTAGGTTTAGGGTTTAAGGTTTAAGGTTGAGATGTAGGTTTAGGATTTGGGTTTAGAGTTAAGGATTTAGAGTTTTGGTTTAGGATTTTGAGTTTAGGGTTAGGGTTTAGGATTTTGGTTTATGGTTTAGGGTTAGAGTTTAGGATTTACAATGTGTTTGGATTAAAGGGAGGGGAAGGAAAAGAAAGTAAAGTAAAGGGAAATAAAGGAAACAAAACACCCCTCTCCTTGTTTGGATAAATTTTTAATTTAAAAAAAGAGGAAGAAGTAGAAACCAAATAACCTTTGGTTTGCCTTGTCAACCTAATTTTTTTAATACCTCAATTTGGAGGAAAAGCTAAAGAAAGGAAAGTTGAATTTTTTTTTTATAAAAAGACTATTATATCTATCTTTTATTAATACTAAAAATCTAATAAAAAAAACCTAAGCAAATCACAATCATCTTATAAGTTTTTCAAAGCCATCTCTTTTTTAAAGTAAGTTTCACATATTTCTTCCAATATAAAAACCACTGATTAATAGTAATTGTGAAGTCAAACAAGATAGCAAATATATCATGATCCAAGAATGCTCTAAAATCATAGGCAATGAAAGGTTATAATTGGAAAAAATTATTATAATGAATCATTTCCTTTCTTTTACACTCTTTATCCAAACAATGGTTGTTAGAATTTGTTTCCTTTCCTTTCCTTTATTAATTTTAATTATTTAAATAAGGGTTACATGTGTCTTTTCTTTTCTTTTAAAAACTTTTTTTTTTCTTTTCCTTTCCTTTCCTTTTA